TGATCTGCTTGTTGTAATCTGATCAAAGACAGCCCGGCTGTTGTCAGTGCTTGAAGACAACCAGTCCTCCCCCATCCTCCCTTCCTTATTCCCCTGTTTGTTATTGGTCACCGTGTTTATTGTGCCATATGCTGCACATGTGTAATATCACAGCGATTCTTAAGTAACAAAGGGCAAAATGTCCATGTTTGTGTCCACAGCATGAGCATACGTATTTTGAAAACTTGTAAGCACGTGTGAAACCATCTGTGCATCTGTTTATAGTGTGTGTGTGTGTGTTTGAGAGTGTTCTTGAGCAACTGTAATCTGAACCGTAGGAGTGAGGACATTGCTATGAAGTTACCTTCAACAGGCAGCTTCAGAGTTAAGACTTAAGGTTAGAAATTGGTTTAGATTAGGCTTAGTGCGATGGGGACAGGGAATACACTACTTTAACGTGAGCCCTCATAAAGATAGATGTACAAGCGCGTTTGTGTGCGCACACACTGCACCGGCCTGCCTCCCACCCTGTCATTAGTAAGGGCTTTAAAGCCTCTGAACTCTAAATCAGCTCAAGATGAAGCGGAGTCTGGGATCTGTCTGCAGGAGCAGCCTCGGTGCAGACTCACAAATATTTATGCACACACATTCCTATCTTACCTGTGGCATGGTGCACCCTGATAACAAGGTAAATGTCAAAATGGAGAAGCAGGCACACAGACAGAAACAAATACATTGACTTGCTCTAGGTTTTGGGAAGATGACATTAATTGTGTGCTAATGATGTTCACACTCCTTTTTATTTGAATGATATTTGTGCTGGTACTATAATAATGGATTGTACTGTAGGTGCTGTAGCCCTTAGTCCCAGGTCCAAAAAGCAAGGCCTGCAATCCCCAGTGTTTTGATTCTAAGGCCTGGTGGGGGTCTGGGGGCCAGGGGCTTAGGCTCTGTTTGTGTGGACTCCACAGCGGCGTGATAGGGAACAGATGTGGAAAGCCAGGCGGCTGGGCAGCCAGCCAGAGCAGCTGGGAGAAATTAAAAACAACAGCATTCCTGGAGACTAGGGGAATTACAGTGGGAGGGAGGGAGCGAGAGACAGAGAGAGAATTTTAGGGCTATGTGGTCACTGACAAGAGTCTCTGTGGAGTATGAGAGACTGAATAGACAGGGGGGATTTAAGGGGACTGTTCTGCAGTGGTTAGCTAAAGCTAATAAGTTTCAGCCGCATTTCCAGTGGAAGAACAAATGCCTAGATACACATACAGTCAACACGCGGGCATATGCATACGTAAAATGAGACCACGCTGCACAACCAGCATCTGAATGACCTTCTAATATCTTATCATTACATGGTGGTCGTCATATCTCTATCTGCGCTCGTCTTAAGGAACTAAAATGAAAACATGTGTCTCCGAATCTATAATGAGACCCTCAAATGACTTAGACAAACCACTGCACTGTGCACATGCCCGCGTACAGTATGTTATCTGTGGTTTTGTGTGTCTTGCAGTGAATTGTTTTTCATCTCGTTTCATCATGGCACAAGGAGAGAACAGGAGACAGAGAACATTTTTAGACTGAGGACTGTTTCTTTGGTGAGCAATCTTTTAGCCCTGATTACGTCAAATATAGAGAGATACAGCTGTTCAGAGAGTCTGAGAAACAGAGGCAAACAGCCTCAGAGAGGAAGGTAACGGTTGTATCGTGCAGTCTAATTTTCAGCACAATATTCAGAGATATTTTGGACCAAAAAAAAAGATGTATTTGTCCCTAAAGTGGCCTTCTTAGTAGACTCAGATGTGTGCAAGTGAGGGAGAAATAGCATAGTCCAAACCTGAATCTTAACCACAGGTCCACTTCACCTGCCATGCCCAGCTCTCTTTTTATACTTCTTTTGGTATAAATATTTTGTCCTTCAACACGAAGCACAATTGGAGCACAGATGGCCACAGATGGGGATGCAGACCTTGCAGACTTCCTAATGTATTAAAAGTAAAATCCAGAGCATGGTGTGTACGTGTGCGCCCTGTCTCTGTAGCTGGTCAGATTAAACAGCTGTCTATAATCCCACGGTGGGAGCAGACAGACTGAATGGTCCCCTTATCCTAGTCCTCTCCTCCTCGCCTCTCATCTCCTCTCCTCTCCTCTCAAAAACTAACCGTACACACTAGAAAAGATCTTGTACAGAGAGTGACATAATAAATTTGCTCAAAGACGAGGTTTACTGAAACATATGGCTGCATCTATAAAGGAATAAGACCACCAATTCAACAGCATGTAATGTGTTTTTACATGTTTAGTGCTGTATAGAGGAGCATCTATTTATACAAACCAGCCTCGTTTGCCTCTATCCGCAACCTTGTGTGTTTATGTTTAGAGCGTCTGGCATCGGGCAAACAGCAGAGTGCCCCTCGTGTTCTTGAGGATCAGTGTGTCAATGGCTCTCACACTGCACACTCCAGTGTGGCACTCTTTAAATACAGACACCAGCTGTTGAACGGAGCTCTCAGAAATAGGCTAACACCAAGGACCGAGGCCGACTGAGGCAGGAGTTGTGTGTAGGAAAACATTTTGCAGGAGTGAAATGAAAAACACATTATGTGGTAGTGATTTGATATATTAGCTGATTACTATACTCCAGCTACACACCAGGGTAAAGGTACAAAAAGCCCAGTGAGTGTTAAACATTATGCCTCAGTAGCGATGCTGGTAGAGGTTTTATTAGCTCTTTTTGATTAGCAGAAATGCATTACCAAACATTATCTCTAACTGGTTATGTTTGGCTCAGGATGACATTAATTTATAAATCAAAAATACGCATTTGTAATGGCGTTCGCCACACGTTTCTTACATCAACAACATCCTCAAAGCACACAGACAAGATTCAAACATAGACAAACAAGGAAAAAGCAGCACGCAATGTCAGAGAGACAAAGGAGAAACTTCCAGACTCTCTTAAAAATTCAAAATGTGTGTGTTTTTACGGCAGGGGAAAGTTCGTAAACTTAGACAGTGAATCATACGCCTAATCATTTGTCCATTCTTGTGAAACTGGCAAAGTGATGTGTAATTTTTTCCTTTGTTTGAAAAAATATTGTCTCAGCATGTTGCTGTAACATGGTGCAGGCTCCTCTGTGCCTCTAGTGCATTTTACCAGCCAAGACAAGCAGCAGATATGTGTGAACACACTGTTTAAACAGATTTCATCTGTTGCGCTATTTTGTGTCATGTTTAATGATGGTAAAATCCGATATTTCAAAACCATCTGCTAAGGTAAAAGCCCCCAGACTACCTTAAAGAAGCTGACTGTGAGTTATTGAGTCAAGGGACACTTTATTGACTTTGCAAAAATGCTGTCTGTGGCAAATAATTATTTGTCTCCTCCTCTAAATTTGGCAAATATCTTCCAACCTTTGGTCGTTGTCTTCTCAGAGATACTTATTGTCACAAATAAGTTAGTCTCACTTACTGTGCTTGCATTATAATGCAGTTCACATCCATGATGTGCACATGAATGTGACATCAGCTCTGATATTGGCAGCAGGGATGCTTTAAACCAGTGGTATTATTTAACCAGATCATAAATGTGGTCTGATATTGTATTTTGGATGGTAACAGTAGAAAACAAAATACATCAACTGAGCCAAGAAAATTAAGGAAAGAGAGGAAAAGAAAGGTTTCTGTTGGCCCCTAAGTTGGTTTGCTTATACTGTTCTGCCAACTATATGAAGAGCTATGAAAGCTACTGTGCTCACTTGTTTGGGTTCTCTGTGTTAGTGAGGAAGGACAGAATTATTATTACTTTTTTTTTTAATCCAGTGATGACAAGACAGATGAAAATAAGAAAAAGAGAGAAGCTGAGGGATGGGGTAGGAAGCATTGAATGCCACATAAAGTCTACAGTGTGCTGCTTTGCCAGAGTAGAGAAGATGGGCCTCTGTCTTAGGCTTTGTTCATGAATAGATGGGTTTACTTGAGTAATAGAGTTTTAGTACTCAACCGTATGCATAAACTGAGTGTTAATAGTGATTTTATTGTTTCTTATGACATGGTGCGCATTCATTGCACTTTGCCAGTCACACACATCATTATAAAATATCTTCTCAAGCTGAAAAAGTCATCACACTCTCAGCTCAAGTTTACATTGCAGAAGGATCCAGCAGCTGCACTGACAGTCAGACAGAAAGACAACGCTCTATAGATAGCTAGATAAATAGATACATCGACTTAGTGTTTGCAGTTTTTCACATGGCCGTGTTTTTGTGTAAGATTTTTTGTACTACGTGAGGCCCTTTGCCACTAGTGTACAACGTAGCGCATCTGTCCACGCACATGCGTGTGGCCATGTCACATAAACCACGTGTTGTGTTTTCTTCTCATGTCCGTTGATGTACCATCCATTCCCTTCACACTCCAGAGCTTGGCCTTGCCTTGTTTGGTCCTGGCAGGCTGTCTGGCAGAGGACAGTGAAGCCTCTGGTAGCAGGACAGAGCCCCGCTGAAAGCCAGTCCACAGTGATGGACAGCAGCAGATCCAGCTGCACTTGTCACTGGCTATCAAGCCGGCTGTCTGAACTGGGGAACGAGAAGGGACAGGCGGGGGGAAGTGTGTGGGTGTTGGAGGTTACAGTGGAGGGGGTCTGATTGGGATGTCACAGCTACATGGATTGTGCATGGGTGAAGGAGAGAGAGCAAGAGGGAAGCGAAAGGGGGCTCTCAGTCAGCAGCAGCTGAGCTAGTGAGCAGGTGTTTTATGTCTCCCAGGCCCATGAATTTCCATCGGGAAAGACAAAAGAAGTTTGGATTCATTTCCACTTGCTGCATTGATTTGTTTTTGTTCTGTATATGTGGGGCTTCTGGCTTAAGAAAACATCTAATGGCTCCCAGGTGAAGATGTCAGTGCTCTCTTTTAAACCACCAGTCTCCACTTTGAAGTTTTAGGTATACATTTTTTTTGTTTTTGTAAAGCTGGAGTTCGTTCTTGACAAACTGTGTCTGTCTTCTCCTTTCATATTGTAGGTAGCAGAGTGCAGAAGGTTGGAACAATGCCAGATTCACCTGCGGATGTGAAAACCCAGCCCAGGTCCACCCCACCCACCATGCCTCCTCCACCCCCGGCTGTCAGCCAATCAACCAATCGCAATGCTTCGTTCACCCCTACCACCAGTAAATCAAGTAAGGATCCTTTCTATCTATTCCATCCTATTTTTAAGTAGGAAAAACAACACGTCCACTTTATACTTTAACATCTTTAGTCCGTGATTTATTTACTATGAGCGTCATCTAGAGTCCAAACTTTTTGGAATAAATTAATCATAACCCACTGAGCGCTTACACGCTGTGAGACGGGTGTAAGAAAAACACTGACTGGTGTGCTGCTTTGGTGACTTTTGAATGGAGTCGCTCTAAACCTTTATCTCATAGTAAACAGGATGTGGCTGTATGCGCTGGTGTCCAAGGCATTGTAAATGCTTCTTTACAGCATAGATTAGGTAGTTGGTATTGGGGTAAAAGCTACTTTACACCAAACTGGACCAGTTTGTGGTTTAGCTGTTAATATAGATGTCATATTTTAATCACAATGTCTATGATTTGTTGTGACTTTAGCCTTATTGTGTCTTTGCTAGGACTTAAAACTCTTCCTTCCTTCCCCTAAATTTGCCATGAAAACGAAAGTAGGGCTATTCCAGGAAGAATAAGAAAAATTCATTCGTTAAGACCTACCACATCCCGATCAGACTCTTCACAAATCCATACATTTTTGCAATACCTTAGCAGCCGTCTGCGATGAACTTCGCAGCCATTTGTTCTGCTTTTGTCATGTGTCACTCTATACGCTTGTGTAAAGGAAGAGAAATTCCAAATATGTGTTTCTTCACTGCTCTGATGAACAAGTGTTGAAGTCACTTGTGCGTCAGGTGTGTTTCCCTGCAGGCGTCCGTGTGTGCTTGTGTCTTTTGGAGTGCATAACGCCCTTGCTGGTGGGACAAGTGTCTTTGAGTGTCTATGTAAGTGTATGGCATTGTGTATGCGTGTGTGCCTATGTTGTTTACCAGCTGGTCAGGCGGCAGTCGGTTCAGGGTACATCGGCCAGGATGGTGTTTCAGTGTGTAGAGTGCTTTCTTCCCTATATAGCAATGGCAGACTATGTTGTTTCACCTGTTGTGGCGGGTGGTCAGGAGTGTAGATCTCTCCTTGCACCTCTCCCTCGCTCTCTAAAACCAGAACACAAGTGCAGCCTATTAGAATCACATGGGTTAGTCCATATGTGTTCAGGCCCTCGTTCTGTGGATTAGAGCAACAAGCATGCCTGAGAGGAACCAAAGCAGCTACACACCAGTGGACATTGGAACTGCCTATAGTCTTTGCTTTATCAAAATATGATGGAAAAGTATCATACCCGACAGTAGCTCACTACAGAGCCCTAAAAATACACACTGAAAAGATTACGCAGCTGGTTGGATGCTGTGCTCACTGTAAGTGCTGTCATATGCTGTTATCGTGAAGTTTAAGCTATATACAGCTTTAGAAATTTTAGAAATCAGGTATTCCAGCAAACACGCAGCATTCATACCCAGACGCAAATATATTTATTTAGATTTGGTGAGACACGGGACTGACCGGAGAAGAGCATTTCAGGGGAGAGGTCATACGTGTTTTTGTTTTTCTCTGTTTGTTTGTGCCTGCATTAAGAAAAATACGCGAGTGAGTATAAATGTGTATGAATGCTGTGCCTATTCTGAACCTCAAAGCTGCAAATGTACTTTCAGCTGGTGGACATGTGCGGGCCCAGATTTAGCTACACACCTGCTACTGGAATAAAAGTAACACAGGCCATAGGACTATTTTTGGCATCTCTTTAACAAGTTCCTCATATAGTTGTGTCCTAGTGAGTGAGTGAGTGAGAAGCAGGGCGAAATAGACGGATACAGAGGCAGATGGATGGGTCGGGGTGGGAGTCAAATGGTACCACTTGTGAGACAGCTGAAGTTGCTGCAAACACACACTCACGGCATCTAGCAGAAAATTGCATCACTACAGTTGTCATTTACTGGAGGCGTGGTATCGACTTTAAACCTGTTGTGTGCTTTATTTAATTCATCTCAGCCAAACACTCTTCTGTCAGCAGGATTTAAAAGCTTCTGCCCTTGTCATGCCCCTAGATCTGTCAGATGCCCCTCGGGCCCCTCCGAAACTACTGACCCAGTTCACGCCGCCTCCTCCTCCTGTCTGTTTATCTGCAGTGCTGAATGGGAGCAGCCACTCTCCTACATCGCTAAACGGTGCTCCATCCACTCCTAACGGCTTCAGCAACGGGCCGGCCATGTCCTCGACAGCCTCGTTGTCCAACCAGCAGCTCCCGCCGGCCTGCGGTGCCCGGCAGCTCTGCAAACTGAAGCGCTTCCTGACCACGCTGCAGCAATTTGGCAACGACATATCGCCTGAGATTGGAGAGAGAGTGCGCAGCCTCGTCCTGGGACTGGTGGTAAGTTGTGATTATGCTCGTGTAGAATTTGCCTGATGAATCTTTTCAGTAAAAACGTTTTGTATAAATATCTGAAGCTACATTAAGCTCTTACGTGGAACTTATTGTGTTATTTACTCATTGAGAATCAAGAATGTGTGCACAGAATACAAACAGATATAAGCACGTGGAGAAGACAATAAGGAAATGGCATGTGTTGGAATGATTGTGCGAGTGATCTATAAAGCATTAAAAGCACTTTTTTCTTCTTGTTGTCTTGGATAGAATTCCACTCTCACCATTGAAGAATTTCACTCTAAACTTCACGAGGCCACCAACTTCCCTCTGAGGCCGTTCGTCATTCCTTTCTTAAAGGTAAATGTCTGCACATTTCAACAAATCAAGCCTGATGTCCTCTAGGTAAATGCACAAACTTTACTTCTCACTGTGGTCAGCGCTCAGGACAGCATTTCAGTGAAAGTATTCAAAGAGCAGTAAAAAGGGGAATCTATATGTGTACAGTGTGTACATGCGGTAGACATCATACTGTACATAAACAGTGGTAAGACAAAAAGGGTGAGTGTGAGTTTGTGTGTGTGAGTGTCAGACCTCCTGGCGTGCGATGATCCTCCACATCTGGGACATCGCAGCAATAGCTGTGTTATATCAACCAGACAGGTCTGAGAGAGCTATTTGACAGCACTGTTGCACACACATTCACACGTACACACACAGATAAAAGACACACAACAGCACACCCCGGAGAAAGAGAGGGAGACACATGGTAGAGGAATGTGTCAAGGGACCTGTCTTATCTCATCCTGTCTCTTCATCTATCACTTTCTTTTTCCTCACCCTAATCTGGCATTATTTCACTCTCACCCCATCTATCTGTGATTCCACCGTGAGTTTCTAGCTCTTTTCCTGTCCACTCAACAATCTATGTTCCTACAGGTTCAGTAAATCTACAGCATGTCCTTCCTATATCAACTTACATACTGTCTTCCCTCTTTTTTCCACTGAAGGCAAACCTGCCCTTGCTGCAGAGAGAACTGCTTCACTGTGCCAGGTTGGCCAAGCAGACCCCAGCTCAGTATCTGGCCCAACACGAGCAGCTACTCCTGGACGCAAACGCCAACTCACCACTCGACTCCTCCGAGATAATGCTGGAGATGAATGAGCATGGCAAGAGAAGGACCCCTGACAGGTAACATCTCTCTGTTTAAAAACAAGAAAGCACGACTTCAGAAATGAACATGCAGAGTCTTACACAGACTGTTGTAAATGAATTATTTTAGGGTATTTCAGAATGCCAAGCGACAAGGGGAGGCTATAAATCCTCTGTGCGGGAGGCGGAAGTCTGGACAGCCCTGATGCCAGACTGCCTCTGCCAGCTGTCTGGGAGGGAGGAGAGAGATAAATGCAGCATAGGAAAAGAAAAAAGAGAGACTGAGAGGCGAAAGAAAACGAGATCCAAAGGGGAGCGCAGGGAGCGAAGTACAGTACATGTCCTGAACATTATCCAAAGACAGACAGGAGGTCTAACAGAGCTATTGTCCCACATTTCTCCCCGGCACTCTGATTTATTCGCTCAGCTAAGAGGATAACACACGAGAGAATTAACTGACGTTTCCCTTTTTCATTTCTTCCTTCTTCTCTTACTGGCACTGCCCTTATTTTGCATTTGACTTCTTCACCCCGCTCTCTCGCTCCCCTTCTTACATCGCCTGACCTGCGGGCTCCCGGCCGCTGTCCATATGTCAGAGACGTGTCCAGATGGCGATGTGCTGGCCACAATGCTGAGCACATCCTAGGCAGGGTGTGGGGAGACAGGTGGTGGCTATGGTTTTGAATGGGACTAGAGGTTGGAGCTGGACATGCAATCCCACTGTAATCCCCACACATCCTCTTCACAACCTCTGGCTTATACGCAGCAGGCAGGACTCAGAGGACAGGAGGTGGGGGTGTACAGCTGGGCCAAGGCCTACGTCATGCCAGCTATACCTCTGATTTGCTAGACAGTACAACCAGGGATGTGTACGATTATAGCTGACATGCACAATAATATAGACACGGATAACTGAAAACGAGTACGCACACACATAAACACACACCATCATCATCAGTGTTGCATTTATTCGCCTTTGATCCCCAGGATAATAAAGAGTGATTTCCATCTGAATGCCTAGCTATTGCCATCCAGCTAAACAGATTAATATCAACACTCCCATTTAAACTGTCCAGATGGCTTGAAAACACAACCTCTCGCACACACACACACTTAAAGTACACAGACACAAATGAGTGTCACTAAACATCTGCCAAACACACAGCATTCAGCCCATATTGCCCCTTAAGCCCAAGAGCAGGGTGGGAGAAATACTTGCAATCTAAGAGTAGGCTGAGGGATATTCAGATTAAGAGCTTGAGATGCAGGGTGTATGCTTGGACTTGGTTTTGTTTGGTACATATGGCGTACAGCTGTGCAAAAGCTTTGCAGAGGCACTGACTTACCGCAGTTGAACAACAAGCACCTCTCAGCAGGGATACGCAAGATGTGTGCGTGAGGATGTATGTGCGCTGGCATACACCATATGGTAGTTGCTCAACTTTAAAAAAAGACAGATTTGTGTTCCTTCCTGAAGCCTCTTCAAACAGGTTTAACTTGCAATACTGGAGTCTTCATTTAATAATTATCCATCAGACTCTGCTGTTACCATTTGATATTTAACCCTTGTATGGTGTTCGGGTCTGTGAGACCCGTGTTCAGTTTTTTTCAAAAGAAAAATTAAACAATTAATTATTTTTTCACGTGTAAATGTGTTGTGTCTTTCCACTCACTCCACTTGATTATAACTGATTTATTTATAACATTTTATATAAAAGAAAAACGAGAAGCACATTAATTCATAAATGTGATCTAACAAAGGTAAAGGTAACCCATGTTTGCTGTTCATATGTCTTGTAATTGGGATGAAGTAAACATCTGTTGAGTAATTTAACATAAAATTGTTTGATAGTGTTAATTTGGAAAGCCAAAACTCTAGCGGGTCCACCAGACCCATGAACACTGGCTGAGTAACAAAAATACGAACACCACACAAGGGTTAACCGTACACCAAATACAAAGACACATTAGAAGACAGACAACAGATAGCTATCATAAAAGGAATCACATCTACATGTTTAGAGCTAGTCTTTTCTCCTAAAAGGAGATTCTGGCTTTCACTTTATTTTGCTCTCCTGAACTCTGACATAATACATTGGCATTGGATATCAATGCTTGCAAAGCCATCCCACAGTTTCCATATTAGTCACTGTGGTCTGGCAAGGCCAAGGATGGAATAACAAGAGAAGCATGTATGTATGTATATATATATATATATATATATATATATATATATATATATATATAGATAGATAGATAGATAGATAGATAGATAGATAGATAGATAGATAGATAGATAGATAGATAGATAGATAGATAGATAGATAGATAGATAGATAGATATATATGAGATGAATAATAATGAGTTTTGTGTATTTTTAAGCATTATGACACTTGAGATAACATTGGAAAAAAGTTTTAAAGGCTTAAAGCTCTCTAAACTTAACTTTAAATAGGATACATTTGCAATTACTTTACCACTGATGACATCCAAAAAAGGAAAAAAGCAAAATAATTTGTGGCTATGCCGCTAAATCACCGTTTCCAGGCCATCTGGGCTCAGAAACACTGAATTAATCCACCACCCTGTCCTCTTTCACAGGACCAAAGACAGCTCTGAGAGAGATGGGTTGCACCCGGAGCACCTGGCTAAGAGGCCCTGCACCATCAGCCCCAGCCAACGCTTCAGCCCCAGCACAGGTCTTCCTGCTCACCCTCCTCTCAATGGACTCCCCACACACCCTCCCAATGGCATCCCCCACCCGCCAAACCCCCAAGTGGGACCCCAGCACTATCGTTTAGAAGACATGGCTCTGGCACACCAATACAGAGATGCTTACAGGCATAACGAACACCGCGAAGTCCGTGACAGGCACCGGCAGACAGGTAGAACAGCTGCAAAGCATTAATTTGGTTAGATAAGTCAGTAATACCACAGTGACACTACACACAGTTTCACGGTCAAGACCGAGCGAGCTTCAGTGTATATAAATGGGGTGTATGTAGAGAACAAAGGCCACCTGTCAGTCCAGTGTGATAATCCTTGTGGCACTGTGTCTATAAAAAGACCACAGCCATACATGCCCATGTGGTCACCTGCAGCAACCATACATGCCTTCCTTCTGGTTCTTATACAAACAATCTCACTGATTAGATATGAGCGTGTGTTTTATTATAAACAATGTATAGACAATGTTAGAGCGTGTTTCAGTGACTCTTCTAATTTGATTTGTGCTAAATTTGTATAATGCAGCGTCTTTATATGCTTTATTATGGGACTTACATTAAAATGCATACAGCAGGAGTTGTACAGGAAATATAAAAAATCAAAAAACAAGAAAATTAAAGCAGTGCGCTCAGCTAATGGACAAAGCTAACAACTGCTGCCTTACTGACATAGCTAGTAAGGCCTAAGAAATAAGTCAGGGAGTTTATTTCATTATGTCGACACAGTTATTTAAAAAAAATGAGTTGATGATGTGTGAAGTCTACATGACAATAATGTGGCACAAACTTCTTTGTGTTTGTGGGTTTCTTTTTTTATAGCAGTCCACGGAGCTCGCCAAGAGGAAGTGATTGATCACCGTCTTACAGATCGAGAGTGGGCAGAGGAATGGAAGCACCTCGATAATGTACGAATCTGCAAAGCAGCTGTGTTTAATGACAACCACCTTTTTACTTCCATCCATCCATCCATCTTCATCCGCTTTGTCCGGGGCCGGGTCGCGGGGGCAGCAGCCTAAGCAAAGAGGCCCAGACCTCCCTCTCCCCAGCCACCTCCTCCAGCTTATCCGGGGGAATACCAAGGCATTCCCAGGCCAGCCGAGAGATATAATCTCTCCAGCGTGTCCTGGGTCTGCCCCGGGGCCTCCTCCCGGTGGGACATGCCTGGAACACCTCACCCAGGAGGCGCCCAGGGGGCATCCTTGTCCGATGCCCGAACCACCTCAACTGGCTCCTTTCGATGTGGAGCAGCAGCTGCTCTACTCTGAGCCCCTCCCGGATGGCCGAACTTCTCACCCTATCTCTAAGGGAGAGGCCAGCCACCCTTCGGAGGAAGCTCATTTCTGCCGCTTGTATCCGCGATCTCGTTCTTTCGGTCACTACCCACAGCTCGTGGCCATAGGTGAGGGTAGGGACGCAGATCGACCGGTAAATTGAGAGCTTCGCTTTTACACTCAGCTCCCTCTTCACCACGACGGACCGGTGCAGCGTCCGCATTACTGCAGCTGCAGCCCCAATCCGTCTGTCGATCTCCGGCTCCCTTCTCCCATCACTCGCAAACAAGACCCCGAGATACTTGAACTCCTCCACTTGGGGCAGGAACTCATCCCCGACCCGGAGTGGGCACTCCACCCTTTTCCGGCTGAGAACCATGGCCTCAGATTTGGAGGTGCTGATCCTCATTCCCGCTGCTTCACACTCGGCTGCGAACCGTTCCAGTGCGAGCTGGAGGCCTTCACCCGATGAAGCCAACAGAACCACATCATCTGCAAAAATCAGAGATGAGATTCTGAGGCCACCAAAGCGAAAGCCCTCCGCCACTTGGCTGCACCTAGAAATCCTGTCCATAAAAATTATGAACAGAACCGGAGACAAAGGGCAGCCCTGGCGAAGCCCATCACCCACCGGGAACGAGTCCGACTTATTGCCGGCAATGCGAACCAAGCTCTTGCAACGGTTGTATAGGGATCGAATGGCCCGTAGCAATGGGCCAGACACCCCATATTCCCGCAACACCTCCCACAGGACACCCCGAGGGACACGGTCGAATGCCTTCTCCAAGTCCACAAAACACATGTAGACTGGTTGGGCAAACTCCCATGCACCCTCAAGTATCCTGGAGAGGATAAAGAGCTGGTCCAGTGTTCCGCGACCAGGACGAAAACCGCATTGTTCCTCCTGTATCCGAGGTTCGACTAACGGACGAACTCTCCTTTCCAGCACCCTGGCATAGACTTTCCCAGGGAGGCTGAGGAGTGTGATCCCCCTGTAGTTGGAACACACCCTCCGGTCCCCTTTCTTAAAGATGGGGACCACCACCCCGGTCTGCCAGTCCACAGGTACTGCCCCTGATCTCCACGCAACATTGCAGAGGCGTGTCAACCAGGACAGCCCTACAACGTCCAGAGCCTTCAGGAACTCGGGGCGGACCTCATCAACACCAGGGGCTCTGCCACCAAGGAGTTGTTTAACTGCCTCAGTGACCTCGCCCCCGGAAATTGGCGGGTCATTCCCCTCATCCCCAGACTCTGCTTCCTCCTCGGAAGACGTGTCAGTGGGATTAAGGAGGTCCTGGAAGTATTCCTTCCACTGCCTGACAATTTTCTCAGTCGACGTCAGCAGCGCTCCGCCAGCACTATACACAGTGCAGGTAGAGCACCGCTTTCCCCTCCTGAGATGACTGACGGTTTGCCAGAATCTCTTCGAGGCAGTCCGAAAGTCTTTTTCCATGGCCTCTCCGAACTCCTCCCACACCCGAGTTTTTGCTTCAGCCACTGCCCGAGCCGCATTCCGCTTGGCCTGTCGATACCTGTCGGCTGCCTCCGGAGTCCCACAGGCTAACCAAGCCCGATAGGACTCCTTCTTCAGCCTGGTGGCTCCCTTCACCTCTGGTGTCCACCATTTGGTTCGGGGATTACCACCACGGCAGGCACCCACCACCTTGCGGCCGCAGCTCAATGCAGCAGCTTCGGCAATGGAGACTCTGAACATGGTCCATTCGGACTCAATGTCCCCAGTCTCCCTCGGAATGCTGTCGAAGCTCTGCCGGAGGTGTGCGTTGAAGATCTCGCGGACTGGGGCCTCTGCTAGACGTTCCCAGCACACCCTCACTACGCGTTTAGGTGCACCAGGTCTGTCCAGCGTCCTCCCCCGCCACCTGATCCAACTCACCACCAGGTGGTGATCAGTTGACAGCTCAGCCCCTCTCTTTACCCGAGTGTCCAGAACATATGGTCGCAGGTCTGCTGATACGATTACAAAATCGATCATCGACCTACGGCCTAGAGCGTCCTGGTGCCACGTGCACTTATGGACACTCTTATGTTCGAACAGGGTGTTCGTTATGGCCAAACTGTGATTAGCACAGAAGTCCAATAACAAAGCACCGCTCGGGTTCAGATCAGGGAGGCCGTTCCTCCCAATCACGCCCCTCCAGGTCTCGCTGTCGTTACCCACGTGAGCATTGAAGTCTCCCAGCAGGACAACAGAGTCTCCAGGTGGAGCACCCTCCAGCACCCCCCCCAGGGACTCTAAGAAGGCTGGGTACTCTGAACTGCCACTCGGCGCATAAGCGCAGATGACAGTCAGGACCCGTTCCCCGACCCTAAGGCGCAGGGAACAAACCCTCTCGTCCACCGGGAAAAACCCCAACGTACCGGCAGCAAGCCGAGGGGATATTAGGATACCCACCCCAGCCCGCCGCCTCTCACCAGGGGCAACTCCAGACTGAGACAGAGTCCAGCCCCTCTCCGGGAGACTGGTTCCAGAGCCCAAGCCATGTGTAGAGGTGAGCCCGACTATATCTAGCGGTACCTCTCAACCTCACGCACTAACTCAGTCTCCTTCCCCACCAGAGAGGTGACATTCCATGTCCCTATTGCCAGTCTTGGCAGCCGGGGGTCAGTCCGCCAGGGCCTCCGCTCCTGGCCGCCACCCAGCACACAATGCACCCGACCCCTATGGCGCCTCCTGCGGGTGGTGGGCCTGCGGGAGGATGGGCCCATGTCTCCTCTTCGGGCTGTGCCCGGCCGGACCCCATGGACTAAGGCCCGGCCACCAGACGCTCGCCCTCGGGCACCCCCCCGGGCCTGGCTCCAGGGCGGGGCCCCGGTAACCCTATCCCGGGCAGGATAAACTGTTCCCTCGGTGTCCTTTTCATAAGGGTCTTATGAATCGCTCTTTGTCTGGTCCCTCACCCAGGGCCAATTTGCCATGGGAGACCCTACCAGGGGGCAAAAGTCCCCAGACAACATAGCCCCTGGGATCCCTGGGACACACAAACCCCTCCACCACGATAAGGTAGCGATTCATTCAAAATCAAACAATGGGGGGGGGAGGGGAGGGGAGTTTGTTTTAGTGCAATTGACGGCATGCAGATGACAGGGACAGGAGCTGCTGACAGACAGTTGACCTTACGAGGTCTGCGACAGTGCGGTGAATTAACAACAGACACACACCTATCTGGATTCCTAGCACTCAACTCTATGAGAAACCATGTAGGCTAGAAACACATACATGCACACACAATGCAAGAGTGAGAAACACAGAGAGAGAGAGAAACAGGGCCCCAGATGGAGCTCAGGACCCAGCAGAGAGCAGCTCCAGCTGGGGTGAGCAGCTGAGACAAGAGCTGCAGTCATGGAGAGAAACCGGCCAGGCCTGGACCCCTGCCAAATTAGAAACACTTCACTGAAATAAATATAGCTAACTCAGAGGGGAGGGAGGTGGTGGAGAGGCAGGGGAAAGAAGTCAGAGATGGAGAGAGGGAAAGACGAATGGGAATAATGATATAGATTGAATGTCAACCATGCTAAACCCATTTAGCAGATCTTTCTATGTCTGGAAAGACAGGGCACTTTGGAAAACAGTTACACTGGTTACAATAAAGGGGGAGGTGGAGGGGGAAGGAAATCTGTTGAGCTGGCAAGGAGCAGAGCAGAAGGGTAGAAGGAATCGGTTCAACACTGTCATCAGCAGCCCAGCTGTTAAATTATCATCGTTGCGTCATCGTAATGCTGTCAGACGTTCACCAACAAGCACGGAATTCATGAACAAATAGGTCGAGACACTAACACACACTGCTCGCAAGCACACGTCTGGTTTTGGGACAGGAAAAGTGGCTCGAAAAGTGGCTCTTAAGTTTTGGAGAGGTTTTGTTCTCATGAGCTATTAGGAAAAACAATCCATTTAAAAATCTGGTCCCTTTCAAAACCTTTCATTTGAAACTTCCCTCCCATTAGTTTACTTTTTTTCTGGGGCGGAGGGGACCAGTAAACGTCTCCTCTTGTTCATTAATCACTTTAAGTAAATATCATTTGCCTTTGCAGCTCCTCAACTGCATCATGGACATGGTAGAGAAGACAAGGCGCTCTTTGACAGTGCTGCGCCGCTGCCAGGAGGCCGACCGGGAGGAGATGAATCACTGGATCCGGCGCTACAGTGACGTGGAGGAGATGAAAAAAGGTGGGAGCAACGGACAGCACTGCCTTCCTCCTCCTCCTCTTCCTCCTCCTCACCACAACTCCTCCTCCAACACAGCTAGCAGCAGCGAGTCACTGCCCGTAGGAACTTCCTCGGCTGCTGAAAGGCAGACAGGCAGACAGACAGGTAGACAAACACACGCAGGGTATGTTTGGCAAAGCAAAACACTCACGGCAAGGTAGGGCTTACTTAAAATGCTGGAAACGCCGTAATATATCAATTTAGACACAGAGAGTCAGTCAGACGATGATATTTACAGCAGATTTACAAATTTTAGCTCAAACTGTGAGGCATACAAAACATCTCCTTGCAATATCCTGGATCTTTAACCAGCTGATTGCACCCTTATGTCGACAGCATGCTCATTCGTAATTAAGATTTGTATTCACGTCTAGCTCCCATATTCCACTTCCTTCCCACAAATAGTTGGAGAAAGCCTATGGCAGCCTGTTTACTGTACTGATGTTGCCACATATATATATACACACATTTTACCTTTTTATACCTTTTTATCGATTCCAAAAATAGAACTGGAAACTGTAGGGCAGTCATGGATGGATGTGTGTTCGAGCAGATCAACAGTTTGTCTCCGTGTGCATGCAATCGACACTGAGTGTGAGCCTGCGTGTGTGTTTCAGAGATCCATCGAGACTTCTTACACAGGCCTCCCTCAGGATACCTCCCGGAAGAAATCTGGAGGAAAGCTGGTAAGAGTCAAGCATCTTCCTTCTTCTTCTTCTTTCTATTGTCTCCGTGATTGACCTCACACAGACTAACAAAACACACACACAAACACTGTCGTCATTCTTCACGGCCCTCACCCCGGCTGCAGACAGACAGAGCAGAGGCCTTACAGCTGTAGGTCCATCAGGCCAGAGGATTGGACGTCCTCTGTGTCATTAGGATAAATGCCCTCCATCTGTCACCACCATGAAAGGCCACTGCAGTTAAAGCTGCAGTGAAAATGCAGTCAGTGGGCCTACGGTAGGCCGCGGCAGCACAGCACAGCACAAGGTGGAGTTTTAACTGGTCTCCATCATCGGGAGCACTTGAATTTTTATCCCACTTTTTCCACTCACATTTCATACACAGACCTTTGACTGAAGGGAATAAGAAACAAACTGCTGAGATATAGAGACAGAAGAAGAAGAAATCCAAAAAAAGCTTTATTTTTGGCTAATTTTGCCAAAAGGAAGCAGGTGGGAGCGTTGCACCGCATGGGACCTGCATGTTAGATAGAGCCTGTCCCGGGAGCGGTCTGGTTCAGCCCTTGTTCCACCTCAGTCCCAGCACCATTATTCTGCACTCATACTCCAATACTCTGCGGAGGAATAGATGCTGCTGCTGTCTGCAAAATACTGTGCTGCATTTTCACCGGCAGCAAAAGGCTCTTTTAATTGCAGTTGTTTTTCATACAGGTACTACAAGCATCCCGCTCTCCCCAGCACTAAAGCACCTCCAAAACAAGCAGGGTGAGTAACATATCTCACTCCCAGCATCTCACCTCCAATGTTTGTGTGCGTGTATGTGCATAAGTGTCAGCTCTATCTCAGCACCCTGGTAGTCTGTGCTGATGTAGCTGCGGCACCTCTCGCTTTTTTTAATTAAAACCAGACACGTGTTCTCTGGTCTGGTTCACATTGAGAGACTGCATTGCTTTTGAAAAATAAGATCTGAAGTGTGAAAAAGCAGACAGAAATAACACATCTCAGGGACTTGCCAAATCCCTGCAGAATTAAAACGTTAATATTGCCGCCCCCGTGTTTTCCATTAAGTGCTAATTGCCCCAGCATCTGCTATGCAGTCTCCTTGATAAGAATTAATTAAATTTGCAAACTAATCTTAGTGGTGCATGCATTAGGCCAGATAATTGAGAAGCTTGGAATAATGCAGATAGTGTTTGCAAGGTAGAGAAGAAAGAAGAGGAGGAGAAGGAGGGGTGTGGGGAGGGGGGGGGGGGGGGGGGGGGGAGTAGGAATAAAATGAAGGTAGTGAGGGAATGACAGGATGTGGGACAGGACAGACACGTGTACCTTAAGTGTAACTATATGTGTACAGTGTTGACAGAATGCAAACTTTTTTTTAGCACAAGAGCGCTGAATTCACACAAGCTCACATAGAGCTCCATGCACACGCTGCCATGCGCATGTACACAGCAGCAAAGTGTGGATAAGGCTCCCCCTCACTCCCTATCTTTCTGCACAGTAGTTTGAAACAACTGGAGTGGAGCGGCGAGGAAAAGTGACAGTTATTTATGAGTTCCCCTTCAAACAAACATTGACTGGAGGAAATGTTGAGCAGGGGAGAGAACTGCGTCGTCTAACCCGCCTAGCAATCCACTTTAGGGTGTCATTTGTGTCTTTATGCGTGTGCGCACGTTGCTATAATTGGGTCATGTGGGTTATCTGGAGAAATATTATTCAATGTATGAAAATATTGCTGTCTTTGCTGGTAGAAAATATGTTAGAGGAATTCACATCTTGTCATCGCAACATACCACATTAGCATTTGAATGCTAAACAGTGTGTTTTTGGCAAACTATTTCCGAGGCGAATGAAGTCCTACGGGAAAACATGTTGTGCGCTGCGAGGCCAGTAATGAAAGACCACAAAACGTAATCACTTCTGCTTCTTACTGAGAAGGAACTACAGGAAGTTTCTATTTTCGACTGCCATCTGGAAAGGAGTCTACCCACCTGCCTGTTATAAAAACAAAGCCTCCTTACTCATATGGTGGACTCCTGCTGGAAAAACAAAAGACCATGTGATGAAGCCTACATTGTAGGAAGTCAGCCGGTGGAGATATGTGTGCCGGCTGCGGGGGGAAATTATTCGCCCTTTACTGTAAACTCTTGTCAGTTTCTGGTAAAACTGTTCTTGTGATAGGATGACAATTCATTCAGGGTGCTTGATGAACAACCGAGTTGGTGACATCTGCTGTTGTCAGCTCTGAAAATGATTGTGACCAGACGTGTTTGAATAAATTATTGAAGTCTGGTTTCTTTTCTTTTTTTCACACTTCTCCTGGCATAAAGTTTTAAATCTTGGATGATGTACATCTGTTTGCCGCGTTACAACAAGACGGCAGCTTAAAGAGCCTTAATAAAGGATGACAGACAGAGCAGGCTGGATGGGACGATGGCCATAAGCACTAACACTCTCTCTCTTTCTCTCTCTCAGAGGAGGCAGTGAATGAGGTGAAGCGACAGGCGATGTCGGAGCTGCAGAAAGCAGTGTCAGACGCTGAGAGGAAGGCTCATGAGATGATTTCTGCCGAGCGCTCCAAAATGGAGAGGGCACTGGCTGAAGCCAAGAGGCAAGCCTCTGAGGATGCATTAACAGTCATCAACCAGCAGGAAGACTCCAGTGAAGTGAGTATCACAGACCCCCTACCGACATATTGCCTCATCCTTCTCTCATTGGAACTTTAAATTCCTTAATCAGTCATCAGGCCCTTTGTTTTAAGGCTTTCTTGATCCATTACCCTTTGCTCCCCTTACCTGTCACGTCCGCAGTGGCAGATGAGGGGAGGTTGGAAGTAGCACCCAAGATGCAAGCACTGACTTTGATGAGAGTGAGCTTTATTGTGACGGTGATAGAACAAACAGCAAAGGAGGTGGCAAGTGCTGAACCTAAGATTAACTAAACTGGAAAAACTAACACAAGCAGACCTGAAATGGAGACGCAGGGAGACTCAGGAAACCAACATAGGATGATGCAGGGAAATAACTGCAACAGGCAGGAGAACACACAGGGCTTAAATACACACAGCAATAATCAAGAGATGAGAGACAAGAGGGGAACACACCTGGGAGAAATCAGAGCTGACGAGACAGGGGAAACGTAAACTGAAAACACTCACATACACAGAGAACCAGACAAGACACTGAACTTAACAGACAGACTCACGGGCATACAGTGTGAGACCATGGACAGAGAGGGAACACAGAGAAGTGGGAGCAGGCAGGCATAGATCAAAACCCTAACAAATGGCAAACCTTAACAAAAGATATAACAGAATAAACAAGAACATAGAATAATATAAAGAAAAACAAAACACTGAGTCGACAGACTCAGGACCATGACATTACCTTGCATTGTGTAATCCATGCAGCTGGCTTCTCTCGGTTTGGTGCAGCAGCAGCATGTTGTCATCATTACTGCAGAAGCAGTCCAGTTGTCTGTGTAAATAAAAGCAGACAGACCCAGATGGTTGGAGCAGAGTGCCAGGCTGAGGCCATTAGTGAGCAGTTGACCACCACCTGCTGGTAACACAAACCAGTGGCCTTGGACCAAGAATTAAATCCATAACATTGAATCCCCATGCAAAGAGGAGCAGACAAATTGTGAATGACACACACAAACTGGCTTGTAAATGCCACTTAGTTTAGGTTTTAACATGTACAATGTGAGAAATTGTTTTAAAAATACAGTATTCTGAACTGTAATGCATTGTTTTTGATGAATAAAGTTAAAAAAATGCAAAAGCTGATGCCTTTGAAGAACATACCTACTGTGCAGTCTTGTGGTATAATATAGTTGTTGTTTTATTTTCATATCACCCGAATGACACACTGTGTTACATCGTAACGATACTGTAATATTTTTGGGAAAAATAACCTGCATAGTCAAGTAGTCAAGTATTTATTTATTGTCATTGTCAAAGAACAATGAAATTGCGTTTGGGGCTTCCGTACAACCCGTAAAAAAAACAAAAAAACAAAAAACCCCAAATACCCCTTAAAACCCAAGTGTAAATATTTAACCCAGTGTGACTTCAGTGCAATGAGACAATCCTTAGCAACAACATGAGAACAAGACAGGTAATGTTCATAGGACATTCAGACAAAGACCTGAGAAACATGACAAAATGCAACAATGCAACCCGTTCAATATTATTGTACTGTGAGATATGATGGTTGTCTATTTAAGAAAGAGGGGGGGCAGGGGGGGGGGGGGGGGGGGAAGAGAATAAAGATATAATGCACCAATGCAGACCAGTTCAGTGCTATTAAGAAGTTGGATATGGTTATTGTCCGTGAGAGGGGGGCAGAGAGGGGAGGGGGGCAGAATTCAGGAGCCTCACAGCCTGTGGATACAGGCTGTTGGCCAGTCTGGATGTTCTGGCCTGTATAGACCTGTACCTTCTCCCTGAGGGCAGCAGGTGGAAAAGGTGGCGCGCAGGGTGATGTTGGTCCCGCAGGATACTGTGCACCCTCCTCAGACAGCGAGTGGGGAAGATATTACTAATCTCTGGCAGAATTGTTCCAATAATTCTGCCAGCTTCTTTCACCACCCGCTGGAGTGCTTGCTGGTCGGCCTTGGTGCAGCTGGGTAACCACACTAGAAATCCATACGTCAGAACGCTGCTGTTGGCACAGTTGTAGAAGTTCAACATCAGAGGTCTGGGAATGTGTGCGCTCCGCAGTCTCCTCAGGTAGTAGAGGCGCTGTTGGGCTTTCCGTGCAACTAAGGTGATATGGTTGCCCCAGGACAGGTCCTCAGTCACAGTTACCCCCAAGAATTTAAAACTGCTCACCCTCTCCACCGCCTCACTACCAATGAAGAGAGGCAGATGGTTGTTATGACCCTTCCTCTGGAAATCTACAATGATCTCCTTGGTCTTTTTGGTGTTTAAGACCAAGTTATTGTCGTGGCACCATGACTCTAGTTGTTGCACCTCTGTCCTGTAGTTTGTCTCATCGTTGTTGGATATAAGTCCGAGCACTGTGGTGTCATCTGCAACCTTAACAATGAGATTGGACGCGCAGGAGGAAATACAGTCATGGGTGAAGAGAGTGTATAGCAGAGGGCTCAGAACACACCCCTGAGGGGCACCGGTGTTGACCACAAGGGTGGAAGAGGTGTTCTTACCCACTCTGACACTCTGTCTACGGTTAGTGAGGAAGTCCACAATCCAGTTGCACAGAGAGGAGTTGAGTCCCAGTTGGTGGAGTTTGGGACGGAGTTTATATGGCCGGATGGTATTAAAAGCCGAGCTGTAGTCTACAAAGAGGAGCCGTGCATAGGTGTTCCTGTGTTCCAAGTGCTTCAATAATGTGTGCAGCACTATGGCGATCGCATCCTCAGTTGACCGGTTCTCCCTGTATGCAAACTGGTGCGGGTCCAGAGATGGTGGAAAAGCAGCTCTGATGTGTTTAATGACCAGTCTCTCCAGGCATTTGGCGGGAATGGGGGTGAGTGCCACAGGTCTGAAATCGTTCAGACATGTGACATTTGACTGTTTTTATATTAAGGTAATGCAGTGGAGAAATAACATATTTCCTGCTGGCAAATCTAGACTCTTGTTGCAGCGTTAGGAAGTGTAAACTCTGCTTGGTTGAGTACAAAATAGACTTATTTTTATCGACCCACTCTCTCCCTACTGTCTCAACAGAGCTGCTGGAATTGTGGGAGGAAAGCCAGCGAGACGTGCAGCGGCTGCAACACAGCTCGCTACTGTGGCTCCTTCTGCCAACACAAAGACTGGGAGAAGCACCACCACGTCTGTGGTCAAGGCCTTCAGGGGCTGCCAGGGGGCAGCAGTGTCCCTCTAGGAACCCCCTCCTCCAGCTCCTCCGCCTCCTCCAGCGCGCCCCCAACTCACTCCGAGCGCACTCCTCCAGGACCCCTGTCACTCGCAGCCCAGAGCAGTATTGCGGGAGGGGCCGGCAGCGGAAGTGTTTCTGCCAGCCCCAAAGAGAGCAGTTCCAGCAGTGCCTCTCGCTCCACAACTCCAGCCACCCCCGCACTACTGGATGCCACCTCTCGCTGACGTCTGAACTTCGTCCCCTCCCTGCATACCGAAGTGACAGCGCTCACACTCCACACAAAACCAAACTGAGGAATCTTCATCGCAAACTGCTCCAGTCCCCTCCTTTACCTCTTATTTCCCTCATATCCCGATCTGTAACATCTTCTCTTTAACCTGATGATGGACTTGTTTCCTCACCTTCCTCCAGAATACTTTCTCTTTTACAGCCACAGATACAAAGATTGTGGTCTGGGGTTCAATGTAGTGTAAAGCATGACGAGTGCAGTGTCTCCTTTCTCTGTTGAAGAAACATATCAGATGTGTTTGCTGAGAACATGAGCTTTGACTTGAAGATTTGCCCTCAGTAACGTAAGCATGGTAAATAATGTCCACTATAAGGGCTGTGAGGAGGCAGCATCAATGGGGGATGACTAGGCCGATTAGCACCTGGATAGGATTTCCCTTTAATTTAGCACCAATGAGATGAGCCCTGAGATGTGCACTAACAGTCCAAACAGTTCCCAGATGTGGGACTTTTTCTAGTATCCTATTGGAGAAAGGCAAGGAGCATAATACCTTTTTTGTTATTTTTGAGGGAAGGGGTAAAAGTTGGGATGCGATTAATTCCTCAGAAACACAACTTAGTATTTATTAAAAGTTCTTTTCTGGCTTTAAGGGAAAACAAAGAGAAGTCCAAATATTCTAAATAAAGAATAATAGCGATGATGCTGATGTTGATTATGATAACAGTAATGATATGAAAAAAATAACTTAATTTTGAACTGCTAACTACCTTGCTAGCGAGCCAAGAAAATCTACACCGGACTCACCTCTCTGCACCATTATGAACCCAAATGATTTCAAAGATGAAAAATAACATGATCCAAACCTTTGTATTACACTGCCAAAGTGAGTAAGTAAGCGATAAAGAGAAGCACTCATCTTGTAACCAAACACAAAGCAACATCACCTCCTCAGCAGATAAGCCAGCCCTGAGACGACCGGGCTGCAGAGGAGCTGCAAAACGGGACCCAGAGACAGCAAACTGTGACCTGCTTTGATGTGCAGCTGCCTCCTGCAGTCTGGGTAAAAGTACAGCGATTCCTCAGAGACGGCCCAGACTAGTGAATATGGACAATGCTCTGAACTTACCTACAAGAAAGACTTAATGAAATAGATGGAAACCCTGCAACAGTGTGTTTTTGTTTAAATGGTAGAGAGGACAAAGAGGAAGGAAAAAAGCTACACAGCCTCAAAGGAGATGATGGTGTGTACATGGCAAAGGAGCTGCCGAAACAGAAAAAAAAACCCTCAACACAAGCTTGAAAACATTGTCCAAGATGGCATTACAAACTATGGAGATACGTGGAAGGATTGTTTGTAAGTTTTTGTTGTTTTTTGTTTTGTTTTTAATTTACGCTCCACAGCGAGGAGATCTTTGAAGGAATTACCTTTACATTCACTCCCTCCTTTTCCAAAGCATGATAAACACAAGACAGAGCCTAAAAAAGGGCGGTGTAGACTTTGTTCTCCTTTCTCTTTCTACCTCCCCTCACCCCTCTCCTCCCTTCCATGTTCTTCCCCAACTACTTGACTCACATGTGCCCTACCCCTCCGCTGGCTTTGGACAGAGAGCCACAAAGCAAGCCCCACGGGTAGGGCTGAACCCGCTTGTAGATATCGTTCCTCTCTTCATTTTTCAATAATGTCTCTTGTTGCTGATGTCCACACGTGCTGCCCTTGTGTATATCCGGAAAGACGGACTTTTGTTTTTGTTTTGCTACCTTTCACTTTCCTCCTTTGAGTTCGGGTTGAGCAGTGAAGACAGAGCAAGGACGCTTTTGTTTATGAGAGGAAGGCCTGCATTGTACTTATTGTTTGATTTGTTGAATCTATATCAATGAGATGGAAACCCCTCTTGTAGAATATTTTGTATTGCTCGCATTGTAAGACAGTGAGAGGACGGAGGTGCAATATGAAGAGAATTCAGCTACTGAATGGAACCTCAGCAACTGCCCATAGGGTGTCATATAATATAGATACATATAAATATATTTAAAGTAACATCAGTAACTTAATGTGAATGTACATAGTATTTAAAGAGGTCCAAAAATGTGTTTGCCAAATAACAGAAACCTTTAAAGTTTAATGTCCAGATTTTTTTTCACAGTACATTTGTTTTTAAAATTGATCAAATTTCTTTTCTCTCATACAAGTTAAACACTTTTTCAATTTTCACTCAAATCAAAGTGTCATGTGACTCCGAGTGGAGGAAACTGTTGGCAACAGTGGCAAAACAGCTCTGCATCCTGCAGTAGGTGACTCAACAGTGTGTATTAATAGAAAGGCTCAGTGGTAACTCAATTAGTTTGTTTTTTTCTTCTCATTTACACCAATTTTTGGAAATGTCATACTTGACACATCACGTCAAGCACTCAGTTTCTTACCAGCCGTTTAGCTCCAGCGCCCCTGTAGTGATCCTCTCTCTCTTGGTCCTCATCAGTCTGCGTGCATGTGGTTAACAGTGTTTGTTTCTCCCATGGTGCAGGATTAAGCGATACGCCAGTGTTAAGCTACAGTACATGACAAATCTAATTTGATACCCAATCTTTAAAATGTTGTTCTTTACTCCTCGCTGCTTATTGTTCATTTGTAAAGAAACAATTTGAGTATAAGCTGCGGACCTGGGGGTGGGGGTGGGGTGGGGGGCAGGTCTTTAGTTTCAGGCCAAGAGAGTAGCACGACTTCTTTCGCGCTGTTTTTTCTTTTCCAGGCTTTCCCACACGCCTCAGCAATAAGGTTAACACGAGAATACTAAACAGTCAAAAAGCCTTGAAAAAAATGTGTGTGCATATTTTATATTGATTATTGTATAGCTTACATGCTTGGCGTCCTTTGCTTGGACCAAATGGGGAAAAAAGAGTAACTTTGTTTTTGCAGTTGGGGCATGGGAAAACAAAAACTCTTTGTTACTTTTTAGTTTTTGTTGGATTGATTTTTTTTTTGACTATCTGAGACCATATTTCAAATGACATAAGCTGCAAGGTACCCCTTCATTCGTGTGTAGCATTTATGTATGTGTGTTAGAATTACCATGTTAAGGCGCTGACCTCAGCCTATTTTCTTTTTCTGTGACTTGTTCCTTTTACCCTGATGTCGAATTCCTCCACTACTACCACAAACCACTGCTCACAACCCTCCCTTCACACTAGCTACCTCCTGTGACCATACAGCTAACCACCAGGAGAGGTTAACCTGGACTTTGAAAAGCTGGGTTGAGAGCAGACATGGACACACACACACATGCCCGCTCAAAAGTCGTCATAAAAGGAAATAGCGTTGTAGAGAACTGTCTTTACTCATAATGTTTAAATCTATTTATTCCTCTCAGACCCTAGTGTCTCTCTTTTTCTTTTCTTTTTTAAAACACATCCCACTAAAAAGCTGATACTGCTAGAATTTAGTAACAGGCACACATGCAGTCAGACCTCCGTATTACCAAACCGATCAGAGAATTGACCATGACATGCCATTTGTTGTCCAAAACCAATAAAAGCACAGACCAAAGTACTCCTGTATTGCCATAGTAGGTTCTGAAATGGTGTGAATCAGCAGACCAGAAGTAATAAAGGTTAGAGCTCAGCTACACCAGTTAACCAAAGTGTCTGAAATACACACGCTCAGAGCCCAGGAGTGAAGACCGCCCTCAATGAACCGGCTGAGTTTCAGAAGTGTAGAATTATTATTCAAGCAATCAAAGCGCTTGTTGTCTACATACTGAAAAGTGCTTCTGTAAAAATAATAGAAGCCTCTCCTTTCAAACAGCCTACTGATTGCGTGTTCTTACAGTCACAAAGCCTTGCAGAGATAAAAATGAATGCATGGTGTGTGTGCGTGTGTGTGCATATGGTTGTGTGTGTGTGTTTTTGTAAGTCTTTTTTTCTTTATGTCTCTGTACAAACTACTTGAAACCTTCAGAGCTTTAATGAAACATCCCAGGCCGTGTACAGTGGCACATTGATTCACAGTATGTAGCAGCAGCTTTTTGCAGTACAGTGACACGTTTTTCTATAACATCCACGCAACATTGTGGCGGCAGTTCCGTTCATCTTTCGAGCGCGCTGCTCGTGTGTGTGCCTCCATGTCTGTGAGTAAGCCCTCAGATAAACGAAACAAAGCCAAACCCAACAGACCATTATAAATGACCAAAACACAACCAAAAGCTACAACCATCTCAGTTCAATTTTGCTTTGGTTCTAATTTTTGTGTTATGTCCCAGCAGTAGAGAACATCAGCTGTGATTGATTGCGTGAGATATGAGACTGCAGTTCGAATCTGCACAGGAAAGAGCAAAATTGTCCTTCACTCCTCCTGGGTTCAGTGGACAGTAGGATACAGAAGATCAGCTGGGGTAATGAAACAAATGCAATTAGTGCATTAGTGCTGTGGTGTCATTTACTTTTCTCTGTGAAGATATTATATATGGCAAACACATAAGGGCTCTGCTGTTGTGAATACCATCCAAGGGTCTCCAAACACTTTGCATTGGCCATGTGTCTTATTTGTTTAACTATGTACATGATATGGGCAAAACACATGTTTAGAGAAGACAGATATTAGCAGGTTGGTGTTTGTTCCTCCCAACTCCAACCAGAGAAGCTTCAAAGCTCATCAGATGTGACGCTGACTTGTCCTTCCTGTGAAACAGGCTCCAATATATAGCTACAGTAGAAAGCTAAGGTGGCAAACAGTGGATACAGAACTTGTTTTCCCAAAAGCCATGGCTCAGGATGGTCTTGTTTTTATCTTTACATAAACTGAATAAAGGTTTATGGTTTTTTATGTGTAGGGAAGCATTCTATACTGTAATGTGCAATACATTATTACAGAAAAACATGTTTCTGTAGGAAAGGATGGCGCTTTGAAGATCTTTTCCCTTTTGTTTAATTTCCCTCTTCAAACGGTCCTGTTGCCATTTTTAGATGAAGTAAACTGTGCCAGAAGAATTCAATTCTTATTTGTATTTATTTCTTGCATGCTTTCCTCCCTGTTGCTAATACCGCTCTTTAACTGTTCGCTCTGTTGGATGTGTGAAGCTGTAAAACATTCTAATTCAGGTTATTGTCTGTGTTGAACAATGTAACTGTGTAATTAAAACATGAAATGAAGTATTCATTGCTGTTCTCTCTTGTCTTTTTCAAATGTGGGAATATTCTAAGATTACATGCCCAGAAAATGAAATTGATCCATTGTTATTAAATAATTATTAACACAGTGTCATCATCCCAAATGTTGACATATCACCAAAAAATCTAGACATACCATGAAGATTATGTAAGTATATTACAACAGTGACACACAAAAACATTACTAAACAACTCTGGTCTCATGTTAAAATCACCTCTTCTACTAATTCTTCTTCTTTCGGCTGCATCACTCCATCTCCATCTTTACACCTGCCTCCATTGACCCTATTCATAGCATTTCCCCCTGTCACACCAACCCTCTCCATGTCCTCCTTCACTGCATCCATGAATCTCCTCTGTGGTCTTTTCCTCCTGCCTGGCAGCTCCATCTTCAACATCCTTTGTCTGGTCTTCCTGTTTATTATTTCATCTGCACATGTCCAAATCATCTCAGCCTTGCCTCTCTAACTCTCTCCAGACTGCTCAACCTGAGCTGTCCCTTTCCACCCCACCAGCTGTTTTTTTTAGGTCTTTTGTGCACTGTCCGTTGGTTTGGATTTTATACTAAAGTAAATGTAATAGTCTGAGTAAATCTTATTATATTATACGTTTAACCTCTTCTGAATCACCTGCTAGGTTTTTAAAAAAAAATCAATTTCTTCCCTTCTTATAATGAGGCACACGGTGGACTGGTCTGTCAACAAATCTAATATTTGCCCAGGTTCAACAACACAAGAGACCAATCAAATTGTAGTGATGTCATAGTTTTGTAACGTGGAAACACCATAACACCACATACGAAACATAAGCCTAATCCGATAGAATCATACTATAGCCCAGTAACCCTAAACCCATTCATGATCACATCCCAACCCCCATCCATAACCTTGACCTTAACTGACCCCGTTTTTGGATATTTTTTTTCCCTCAGTGGGCATCGGCAGGTTTTTTCCAAGTTGCAAAGCTATGACACCTTAACAAAGTGATTGGTCAGATGCAATGTTGATCCTGGACTTGCCTCCCTACATCTAAACCGCTGAACTTTATTTTACATTTTTTAAGGTTATCCAAACCTTCCCAGGGCTCCTGTAGAAATGACATTAATGACACTCCATGTGTGAGTTTTTTCTTCCCTCCATCACCCCCAACCGGTCACGGCATATGGCCACCCCTCCCTGAGCCTGGTTCTTCCTATCTTGCATAAATCGGCTGTTGATCTTCTTTACTCATTTCAGTTATTATCAAGCAAAATAGTTGCCTGTGTAATCATCTGGGAATTTACCCAGATTTATTTATTTATTTAGACAGAGATCCTGACCCCTCCAATGTTCAGCACAAAGTTGAGCGGATGTTTCTTCCTCATACATTGGTGTTTCTTTTTGAGACACTTCAGGACAACAATGTGATATTGTTGTTATTAGAGACACCAATAGAAACTACAGTTAGGTCCACAGTTACACATTTTTTCCCTGTATTTTTGCTTCTGTATAGCACCACAGTCAAGATATGGTTTAAGTGCACATTTTCAGTTTTATTTTTCAAGGGGTTTTGCAAGAAATATTGCATTATCTGTTTAGGAATGACAGCTTTTTTTTATACACAGTCCCACATTTTCAAATTGTTAAAAGTAACTGGCTGGCAGGCTGTTTCACTGGTGAAGTCTGTTCCCTTGTTAATTTATGAGAAATTAAGCAAAAACAAAATTTGGAGTTAATACCAAGTGTTGAACCTATTTGGTAACTTGTCATGGGAATTTTCCATGTGAGATGTTGTTGCAAGTGAAGGAAGCCATCAAGCTGAAAAATAGACAGAGAGATATGAAAAACATTAGTGGCCAAAGGTGGGCAACTTTATTGTCTGGTACAGTCTTTAAAAGGTGCACTACTTAGCACTGCTTAGACGCCTGGGAGACCACAGAGTATAACCAAAGCAAATGATCGCAATATTCTGTCAAGAACACTCTCAAGGAGGCAGGTGTATCATTGTCAAGGTCTACAAACAAGAAGTGCCATTATGAATGGAAATACAGAGGGTTTATACTAAGGTCCAAACCACTGAAGAACAGGAGGGTCAGAAAACATCTAACAGAGCCTGAACATTTCTGGAGAGATGCAACCAAGATGAACTTGTAAAAGAACGATAAAAACAGAAAAGTATGGAGAAGGAGAGAAACAGCTCATGATCCGATGACATTACCTGTCCAATATGGTTATGGTAATGTTATGGCATGAGTATGTGTGGCTGCCAGTGGAACTAGCAGCAATAGTTTTTACTGATGATGTGACTCCTGATAGAAGTAGCAGGATTAATTGTAAAGTGTACAGGGCTATACTCTCAGCTCAGATTCAGTCCAGTGCTGCAAAATTGATTGGACAGCACTTCACGGTGCAAATGATAATGACTAGAATCATATTGCAAAAGCAACCCAAGAATTTCACAAGGTAAATAAATATGATATTCTTCAATGACAAGTCAGTTGCCAAATATTAAACAAGTAGAGTATGCTTTGCAATTACTGAAGACAAAACTGAATGCAGAAAAACCCGCAAACAAGCAGCAACTATGTATCTGCAGTAAAGGCTTTAGAGAGCATTTCAAGGGAGGAAACACAGCATTTGGTGATGTCCATAAATTCTAGACTTCAGGCAAACGCTGTTTGCGAAGGATTTTCATCCATGTATTGAAAACAAACCTTATATTTAAAACTAGGTCAGTTTTTATAATTACATTTGGATGGCAGATTATGTATAAAAATTGCTGTAATTCCTTTACTTTTGTGAAAACCTTTGAATTAAATCTAAAAGTCTTCACTTCAATCACATCTTGATTTCTTGATTTAAAATCCACTTTAGTGGTGTACAGAAAACTGTCAAACCTACCTAACTGTATATAAAAGATGTGACATAACCCATAGGTTTGGGGGCACAGTTTTGATGCCTCTAACGGTCATCACCACATCTAAAAATATTTGGACTTATATGTTATCAGCTAACACTAACTAGCTTAGTAAGGGTCACCTGAGCTGATTGTACCCAGTCCAGATAATACTCCACCAAATGCAGTGGAGTATTTTGAAGCTTTTTTGAAGCTTTCTAGAAGTAGCTCTCTGTTCTGTAAAATGTTATTATTTTTATTATTTTTTAATCTGTCCTGTCCTGCAGTTTTAGCAAGCAGACATAAATGCATTGTTATGCCAAATACATTTGCTTTGCCAAGAGAGGCACTATAGAGTCTCTAAAGGCTCATCTTTAAAGTCTTTTTCTTTTCATTCTTTGTTTTCTTATTCGCGTTATTTGTATAGTTATACAGTGGTGGAGCAGATAGGGAGTGAGGGTGTGATTTGAAGCAATGCGAAGTATGGAACAAAACTGGATTGGAGATGTGATTCACAGACACAAACCTGGAGTGTTCCTGGGGTTGGACTTTATATTATCACGTAGGCATACCTGCTAATCAGTGAAAACTTATGAATAAAAGATTGTTAGAACTTCACTCACTGAAAAAAAACAAACCCTGAGGACAGATTTCAGACTTCTGAAACAGATAGGTTATAAATAACATTTAAAAGAGGAAAGCTTTGTCGGTTAGCACTCTTGCCTCACAGCAAAAAGGTCCCAGGTTTGAATCCACTATGTGGATGGGTGCTTTCTGTGTGGCGTTTACATGAGCTCCCCGATTCTCTCTGGGTACTCTCACAGTCCAAAGACATGCAGTTCTTCAGGCTTAGTTAACTGGTTTTTCCCTGGTGTGAATCTGAGTCTGAGTTGTTGTCTGTCTGTCTGTCTGTCGGACCTGTCCAGGGTGCACCCCGCCTCTCAAACTATGGCAGCTGGGATAGGCTCCAGCCCCCCTGTGACCCTGAATTGGATAAGCTTAAGAGGATGGATGGAAAGCTTCGACAGATAATCACAGTTATAATAACCCAAAAGCCACCAACAACAGAGAGAGGTCAGGAGGTTCACTTCAGATCAGTAACTATAATGAACTAAAATTATAGTTATAAGACAGATATAGAGACACCCAAGTGTTGCTCAAAGGGCCCCCCGTACATAAAGTTGAATTGGGTGGTTTATACATACAGTTATTATCAGGGAAAAATAAACTACAGAGAGCTTTATTTTTTAAAACCAAGCAATAAACATGCCCATTTCTGCTAAAACAAATGTAAAATGGGAGTCTAGCGGCCTGTGTAGCTCATTATTAGAAACTTCTAGTGATTTCAAATGTATAAAATAAATCTAATTTTACAATGAAGAATGGGATGCGCAAATATCATTTTACAGGCTTTTTGTAGTTATAGTTTTACTAGTTCACTCGTGTGGGTAAACTGTGGTGAGGTATGCGTGTGTGTGTAGTGTAGGGGGCAGCCATGGCCCCCACGTACAGTAGGTACGCCACTGAGAGGAAGAGCCTCCACACAAAAGAAAAACCGCGCTCACGTGCGCTCGTCTGTCAATCAGTCCCGCGCGCCATGCGCCTCACTCACAGGTGATATCTATTAGGTTACCTCAAATTGTGCAGTCGCGTTTGTTTGCGGACCGTCCACCGGGTTCCTCCCTGTCAGGGATATTTTTCTGTGGCGGTTTTGGCAAGCTGCAGTCAGCTTTGCAGATGCTATGTGTGAGCAGTAAGCATGGCGGAAAATCATCTGGAGTACGGCTACCTCGAGGGCGAGTCCATCGGAGAGCTATTCACAGAGGACCCGGTGAGCATGGGCTATTATTGTGCTGGCGGTGGGCAAAAAGCAGGTTTGACACGGCTTATTTGTTTGCTTGTGTGCTATATGTCGACGCGGTGCAATAAACCAAGCTCGTCACGCTAGGCAAACGAGCGCAAACGCAGTGTCGTATTGTATATCCCCGACAAACGTTGTGTGATAAGAGCACCACTGAGCCACATCTAAGATGCAGAGTGAAAAGCTGGGCCACTCGGCGCATTGTAGGTCCGGGTTAAGTGCGGTTATAGCTACGTTTTGTGCTGCACTTCAGG